CTGCTGAAACAAGGAGACAGGCTCTCCCTGGGAAATGGGAGCTATTTCTTGATTATCACATAGAACCCAACTTCCGCTAATCCCTGTTGGCTTCAGAGATTGTACTGACAAGACCAGCCCACGCTCTATTTTAAGGATTAGTGGCAGCTCGAAGCGTCCCCTTGGAAAAGGAGAAGGATGCAAACACGGTGTCCCTGTTTTCACCATCTTGCTGCCACAAGAGAGTGTGATGTGAGGCAGATGTGGTGAGCTCGTCCTGAAATGTACGGTACCTTTGAAGAAGACGAATTTCCCATCAGACCGCTCATAGGCTGCATCGATCTTTGCAGGGAGGCCCTTCCAGAACTGCTCGATCTGCATGGGGTATCCCTCCTGCACTCGGTTGTTGCGCAGACGCCAGAACCAGCGATCCTGAGAAAACCAGAAGCGTCTTCAGACCGAGCATTTTTATCTTGCAGTCAAATCAGGGCTGGGCGTCCAGCATCGCGCATTATTAATCCCTGCCTAGGCCCCGCAACCATTAAAGACCGAAGTCCTGGTTCAGGTGACAGCTCCAACCCAGCCCAACGCTGTCTCCAGTGAGGGAAGCGCTTCCTGGGGAAGGTGGCAGCCAAAAAAGGTGAGGAGCTGATTGCTGGTGCTGTGAAAAAGGGTGGAAAGAAGGAGAGGAAAAAAAGGAGCAGGGGGAAGCAAGCCCACAGTTACAAGCGTTAATTAAACTCGTTTGTGTGTGACCTTTCCGCGTGTCTCGTCACCGAGGTGTCACACTTGTTCTGGCCCAACCAACTCTCAACTGTCAGACCCCAGGAGAGCCACACAGCCTTAACATCACGAGGTGACACAACGTCCAAAGGCACAAAAGAGATATTAAATATCACTTTAGCTACGAGATCATTAGTTAAAACCATAGTGGATACTCAGGGATGAGTAAGAGTAGGATATGGAGCCTGTGAGACTTCTCCCAGATACCGCCACAGCCTTCAGCTACTTTCAGGTCAAGTGTTTTCTACATCTGATGTGGTTTGTCCATTTAATGACCTTCAACGTCCCCCTCTCCACGTTCGCGCCCGCTGGGCAGAGGGAAAGCTGCAGGTGTTTGGGGAATGAGACTATGGATTTCCATACTCACGACACTCTGCCGTGCGTCGTTGAGCAAAACCTCTCCTTCTTCCCTGGCCATAGTTTACAAGCAAGGTCGACTCAAACCCCCCAAGAGCCTTGGGGAGGCTGAGTGCTCCCTGAAGCCCAGGGTTCAGCTCGCACCATCTCAGGAGGCAACACGGCTTAATCCCTGCTCAGGTACCGGCATTGCTCTCAGGCGTTAAAGGTGGTTCCTCTCTGAGCTTGCGGGTGTCTGAATTCTCTGCGAGTGCAACCAGTTCACCTCTAGGTGCACAGGCTGCTTGGCCACTTTGGGACTCCTATCAGGCCCTGTTCCCAGATGTTACAGAGCCCAGCTGCTTACATTTCCTCCTGAGTTTGCTCATTCACCAGCCTCACAGAAACTGAGCTATTTTCACAGACATTTCAAGTCTCACTACCGTATACTTCTATTAATCTTTTCCGGCAATAAACCTAAAGAAAGGCTCACGGCTAAGCAGGAATTCTTAGTACCTTGAAAACAAACATTTCTCCTCTAAAGAGAGCCACGGTGTTAAAGTTGCCATCACAGATGTTTGGTTTTGTGCCAGGAGGAGCTGGCCTGTCACCCAGAGGAGGACTGGCAGGTCTTGGCTGTCTCTCGTGTTTTCTTTCTGAAGTGGAGTGAATTCTGCGAACAGGAAGAGTCGGTAAAGGCCTGGTTGGCTCCAGGGGCTCAACAGGAGGACCTAGAAGTGAAAAGAAAAACATTCAGCAAAGTGGACAAGTTTGGATTTTCTGTTCTTGCCTCGTAGGTTTTAAAAGGCAACAGGCTGGATGCATTGCGAGGAATTTACATACTCCTCATGCAGAGCTCATTCCCTAGAAATGGGGAGCAGAACGAGATGCGTCCACTTGTGAAAGGCGTCCCAAAACTCGAGGAGCAGTAAGAACTGAAGAAGAGCCAGTATGGTTTGGTAGTTCTTCCCAAGGAGGCTGGAGCTAAAAGGAAGGAGGAACCACCCCACTCAGGTTCCTAACTGAAATGAAAGGTAATAGCCCTTGAATAGAAACATTTAGTAGACTATAAAACCCCCCAAAAAAGCTAAATCAGCATAAAGAACAGCGCTACAATCTAAGGGCAACTGCAGGGGAGTTTAGAAATTAGAAAGCAATTACTTTATGTCCTGGTTTTGTCCGGGACAGAGTTCATTTTCCTCCCAGTAGCTGTTCAGCATTGTGGTTTGGATTTACTGTGAGAATAACATTGAAAACACACCGATGGTTCAGTTGT